AGTGGTATAAACAGTTGCTTAGGCCACCAGAGCAGCCACAGGGTCCTATCAGAATGCAGGATTTTAAAAATGTATATTAGAGCTGCAACAATTAATCTGTAAAATTGTTAATAATCGATTATGAAAATCGTTGTCAACGAATCTCATTATCAATTAGTTGGTCTGCGTGCAGCAAGGGGTGTGTTTACTCACTACATTACTTCTGTTATGAAAACACGCATCTGAGAGTAAATACTAAAGTTCTTTTAAAAAGAACTAGCGTTCTTTTTTTTTTACTAACTGGAAGTATAAGCCATTTCCCAGTCGATGGAGCATGATGTCAAACGCACGTAATGCAACGCCGCTAGCTTTAGCAGAATACCCAGAGTCAACAAAAATAAAATTATTTTTTACTGTTTATATCAACCTTACCTTTTATACCCAACATGAACTCAGCCACCATCAGAAGAAGGCGTAAAGCAGGGGTGCATTTTATATTAAGCACCATGAAGAAGACTGTAACCTGTAAACTTTATAAATGTGTAGCACAGAAGCACGACAGAGATGCACATGCACAAACATGTTTATATCCAAAATGCTCCACTGTGTGCAAGAGGCAGGGGAAACTGGTACGAGTTGCTTAAAAGGTTTTGTTTAATTCAGGTTTATTGTCATTATTTGCAGTGTAAATTCTGTCGTTTATTAAAACGGAAGTGATCTATTAGTAACAAGGCTGCGTTGCTCCTCACTCGCAGTTTAGACATGGTGATAAACAGTGGGAGTTCAAGTAATATCTGTAATGTCTAATTACAATGGTATGATTAAAGTAAACACAATTAAAATAATACGTCTAAAGGCAGTGAGTAACAGAAACCACAAGGTGCAGTGAAAGTGAGATTTTATTATTAATTTTGGCTTTAATTCAGTTTAATTCAGTGCTTTTTTGTGCATCCATCAAAATTATGCATAAATACATAAACTTTATATAATATAAACTTATATATATAATTGGACAAACAGTTGTGTTTGAAAGAAGAGGAGTTTTATTTTAAATAGACGGGAAAATGGTACTGAAAGTTTACCCAACTCCCCAATCTGATTAATCAATAAAAAATAATAATAATTCAGCTTTAATGTAGAGTTTTGAATGTTCTCTTCGTCTCTGTGTAGGTTTCTTCTGGGAACTCAGGTTTCCACCCAGCTACCAAAAATTGCTAAATTTCCCCTAGGTGTGGATGAGTTTGTACGCTGCCCCATGATGGACTGGCACCCGATCTTGTGTGTATTCCCACCTTTCTTTCCAATATTTCCAGGATAGCCTCTGGATCCACTGTGACCATGACCATGACCATGACCAAGCATTCACTGAAGATGAATGATGAAATTTTACCAAAAAAAACAATGCAAGTGAGACTCAGGACATTTCCACGCCCTGCATTTCAAATATAAACACAAATATAATATAATATAATATAATCTTTCAGTTATTATAAAGCCTGGCCAATAAATTCTATTGTGTATTATCTAAGGCTGTATCCGAATATCTCTACTACCCTTCTACACATAGATGAAAAGCAATACGCCACAGGAGAAGAACGTCTGAATTCTCAGTATTCATAAAACAGTAGGCGAGAAATACCCAGATGACCTACCGGTTCCACCTCGATTCTGCAGTATGGAACCACTGGACACTGTGGATACCGCACTATCCCATAAGCCAACAGGACTGGCACAGAAGTGCTGTCAGAATCTGCGCCGCGTAGTACGTCCCGATTGTATTCGTGCCTACCACTTATACTGATTAGTACGTAATGCATCAGGGTCCAAGCCGTATGTAAACGCAGCCTACATAAAGTTGTTTATTTCTGTATTGCCTCCATTTAGATCTGAGCCTGTTTTGTTTTGTTTTTTTTTTTTGTCTTTTGGATTGTCCTCTGATTTTCTGCTACACAGCTTTATGGGTTTATTTAATGAGTTTGTTTGTTGTTGTTGTTGTTGTTTTTACCCTTTTTCCTGTTTTCCACCTTGATTCTGTTTATATTTTGAAATTGAATGGATCCCCTTTCTGCCTCTGAGTCCCCATTGTTGCACTGTGGAAAATTAGTGTTTTTCTGGTTAATTTAATATAGCACCTAGACACAAGCTGTAAGACGGAAATGGCAGATGCCCTTCAAAATGAAAGTCTACTGCTGAAAGATCTGTAATCTAAAAGTAATAGAAAAGTTTGATGGAGAAGCACACCACACCTGCGACCCACTCTGTCCCTGCTCACAACCCATTAAAGACAACCACTGGTCTGTAACGTGTAATAACACAGACAAAATAACTGTGTGAGTCTCATACACTCATGCTCACCCACTGAGCCAACATTTCAACACTGATAAAAGTGTTAGAATCTCTCCTTGACTCTAAAGTTTATGATTACTGTTGAATTTGTATTTTAAGAAAAACATCCATTTTGTACTGTCAACACATTTAAGAGGCCTCGGTTCACAGAAATGTGTCTCTTATCAAACAGAGGTGTATTCAGTGTCTGGGTCTAAGGACGCAAAGTATGTTCTTAAAAATGAACTTAGGTTTACTTAGGTTCAGTGTGACGTCTTTAGTCATTTAGTTAGTCAGCATAGAGGCAATTAATGTCCGATGACAATGCAAATAATATGGTCCTAGATGTATGATTTTAGTTGAATTGATGGTAGGAGATATAGTTTATTTGTGTAATTTATAATGACAGTCCCTTTTTTCTCAGCCTGGAATGCTGTCTGGTTCACATAATATTCGCTACTGAATATCTAAAACATTTTTATTTCCTATATATTCTCCTTCTACCATTATGCTCTTTTATTGGCCTTTTCTTTCTTTTATCATAAAAATGTTTTGATGGTCAAGTGCTATTAGACTGACAAACAGGACAAACGGGCATATAATTAGATAATAAATTATTATGATTGAAAACTATGAACCAGTTCCATAATTCCATGTGAAAACATTTTAGAAAAATAAAACCCTGAACTAATTTTCAAGAGGAAGCATTATATTTGCCAGATGTTTTGTCTTGATGGTCTAGCAGGGTCTAGGCAAGAGTGTGCTTTGTAAGACGGATGTCAAGGTCCTGAGGACATGGGCTAATGAGAAGTGAAGGCTGTCTCGGAAGCAGGAGCGTGGTCTCTGTCCGAACCGCTCAGTTTATCTTTTATGTCAAGCATAAAGACACGCAACTCTCCACATTTTAGGACCAGTCCAGATAAACACTGGACGTATTATATAATAGGAGAAAATGACATGAACACAGCACAACTATCACTGTCAGGTGATAATGTTTTGCACTACTGCAAATCGTATTCAGTGTTAAAAATTGACTATAAATTAAAAATAATGATAAAAACCTGTTCCTATTAATCGAAGCTGATAATAATATGCCTTTGTGACTGAGGAGATCTTAGAGATTGAACAGATAATGTTAATAATAAACAGAATGTTGATAATAAACAGAAACAAATGCAGATACTAATAAGAGGATTCCAATTCTTGACAGAAAATGCTTGCCAGAAAGGTTAATACTACATCTGGTTGAAACTTGAGGTGTGCCTGATCCTGAGCATTGAGTCTTGAGATGTGTGTTGAGATTGGGCTCTGCAGGACTCAACAAAATGTCATGAGAGCAGTGATCAGATATGAACCTTGCGAGACAAACAGTGCCCACAAATGTTTTACATGTATGCACAGTGCTGCATGATGCTTTTTCAGCATCCTTAGTAACTGCCTGGTCAGGGTGGCATTGGTTTCAATTAGGCTTCTAGTATGTATATTTATCGGGGAAATAGGACCAACTACATTGCTTAGAAAATACAGTCCGGTTCACATCTCTAGATAAGACTAGTTTGGAGCTGGAGTGATGTAGCTGAGGTTGAGGAATTGTCAGAGTGAGAATTCTCACATCATGCTGACAATGCTGGCATTTCTTCTTCTGGGCTTTTGTGGGTTGTTTTTTTTTTAGTGCTTCCAGGAGCATAGTGGAAGGGTTTGTATTTCATTAATAACAAACAACAAGCTACCACAATACACCCATTTTGGGTTTAAATCGGAGTACTGATACAGATACAGGTACAAATAGTGGCATTGAGTTACACCCATACATACTTGTATCTTCTTCTATGCTAGCTCAGCAGTTCAAGTTGTGAACCCAGTGACAGAAAGTTTAGTTCAAATCCCTGTTCTGACAAAAAAGCCACTGTTGGGCCCCTGAGCAAGATCCTTAACTGCGCTCTGCTTGGATTGGAATCTCCCCCACTTGGAAGCTGTCTGCCAGATGAATAAATGAAAATGTGATAAATGTTCGGAGTAAAGCAAAGTTGGCAGTGTTAACCAAAACCCCCTCTATTACATTGTACAGTGGCTATTTTTAATCTGAAGTTGATCAAATTAGTGGCAGCAGGAGATGACAGGCAAACTTTTATTTCTAGAGGATCCTCAAACCTCGGTGCTGTGTTTCTGTCTCAGGTCTCTGCCTCGTCATCTTGTTGTGACATGCCATAGCGTGTATTTCATTTGGATAACAAATTCTTTCCAAGTTAACTATGTATATTTATATCATTAGATAATTGTGGTGGAAATTTCAACTGCGTTTGATCAGAAGATGGGATTCCTTTCCTGTAACAGCAGCTCGGACAATAGTGACGGCTGTAATTCTAATCACAGGCATATATTAATATGCTAATTTTAATAATGTTGTTGTTTCTATAGTAACAGCTAATTCCCATGGACTTTGGTGGGTATGTGATGGTGAACCTTTTTTGTAAAGAGTCTTCAATTTCGATGTAAGTTTCACCTGTAAGCTTAAGTTTGTGAGGGGTTTGTGCTTTACGATTTCTCTCTAACTTGTCAAGTTGCATCTTTGACTTATTAACTTCACAAGAGAGATAAATGAGAGGCTGGTGAGGAAACCAATGTTCATAGCTGCGAATACAGGAACGAACTTGTTTCATGAACGTGTCACAACATTAAATGTAACTGTAAATGTGGGCAGTGGTAGCCCATTGGTTAAGGCGTTGGATCAGTATATCAGAAGGCCGTGAGTTCAAAATCCCAGCACTGCCAAGCTGCCACTGCTGGGCCCTTGATCAAGGCCCTTAACCCTCAACTTCTCAGTTGTACAAAAAAGGGAGAAATGTAAGTCATTCTGGATAAGGCCATCTGCCAAATGCCATAAATCTAACTATAAAAGGAAAAAATTGAGGTGTTCTTCAGTAAACAACAAAAAAACTTGTTAGCGTTGATGAATTGCTGTGCAGTAAGAGGAATAAAACGTATCAGGACATGATGGTATTGACAAATAATGGATTAAATTCAGGACAATACCAGTAATTCCACTTCATGTCATTGAATATTTTCTTATAACAGTATACCCATCATGTTTTATTCGTTCACTCCTTACTCATGGCTCAGAAGTCTCTGAGCTCTGAGTCAACAGAATAAATTAATCAAAATCCAATGCCACTGGCACTGTATTCATTGTTCTGCTCATGCAGGTCCTTTTTCATGGAAGAAAATCTCAGTAATATTTTATTTAATTTTTTTTTTTTTTTAAATGTAGACTTTGGGAACCGATTATTAGATTATTATTCTGTCTTACTGGAGGTCTTTAAAAAATCTGAAATCGGTCAAAGACTATTCATTCCTGTTAAAGCTGCTTTGCTCCCCTTAAAATCTCTGGACCTGTCAGCACATGGGTCCAAATGTACAATTCGTACTCTCATAAGTACACACCTTTCATATTACTTTCACCATATTTTCTGAATGAAGATAATGAGTCATTATTGGTCACATATACAGTAGAGCACAGTGAAATTCTTTTCTTTGCATACTCCAGCATGTCAGGAAGCTGGGGTCAGAGCACAGGGTCAGCCATGACACGGCGCCCCTGGAGCACAGAGGGTTAAGGGCCTTACTCAAGGGCCCAACAGTGGCACCTTGGCAGTGCTGGGGCTTGAACCCCTGACCTTCCGATCGATAACCCAGAGATTTAACCGCTAATAACGTGTATTAAGAGGAATAACTGAAAAATATGGCAAGAGTTTATTACGCCAAAGGAATGGTTCAGCGGAAAATCAAATTGACACAATTTTCCCCCAATCCCAAACAACTCTGCCTTTTGTTGTCTCCTGTAAAATGATAATAAAACGTGTTGACGAGAAAAGTGATTCCAGTTGTCCAAGATGGCTGCAAGCCCTCTGCAATATCACAGCGCTCAGCTACACAGTGAAACTGTCTTCATGTTTATAGATTACAGTAAGTCACACTGTGTCCTAAACCACATCAGTAAAACTGCGTGAAGGCTGCTTTACACTGCGCAATAACAGCCGCCTTCGAAGTTTATTGTGCGTCACATTGTAGGACATGATCCTTGTCAGATTCTGTGGCAGGCTGTGTGATATCAGCAGGGTTGGGAGGGTTACTTTAAAAATGTATTCCGTTACGGTTACAAAATACTTCATAAAAATGTCATCAGTAACATAATTCAAGTATCAAAATATGAAAGCAATCTAATCTGGATTGTTTTTGGATTACTTCAAGGTTACATATGTACATTTGCAATCAAAATGGTTCCATCCCCTTTGCAAATCAGGTTTATTGTCAAAATTTACAAAAACAATTTAAATAGTTCAACACAACACAACAAATGCTTCAAGCGGTTTCCTGAAAATGCAACTGTGCAAACACAGGACGAGGGTTCACTGTATGGTTTCATGAGGATAAACATTATGTAAATCATATGCTTTGGCCTTCACACTCAGCAGATCTTATTCCAGTTGAACATGTGGAAAATTCTGGAGTGGTGTGTTAGGCAGCGCTCTACCATCAACCTCATCAAAACACAGATATGTTTTGAACACATATGTCTTTCAGAAGAATGGTGTTCAACACTCCAGTAGAGATCAATGTGTAGAACTGATGCTAAGGTGCATTAAAGCAGATCTGGTAGCTTGTGGTGGTCCAACACCTTACTACGGTATTTTATGTTGGGTTTTTCCTTTAATGTGTCACCCATCTGTAGATATTTAAATTGTTAGGGAACGTATTACTTCAATTATATGCTACCTAGACTAAATTTGTTGCTCTATTGCAAAGCTAAAGAAGCAAATGTCAGATATTAAATTTAAAAAATATTCAATTTAATTTCTAGCCATTCCTTTATATAAGCTAAAAACGAATTAGGCAAATGTACTAGGACAGGAACAATGTGTTACTTCTGTATGGAGAATAATGTGCCAAGAATCTCTTCTCATCGCTGGTAAGTACAAAAAATATGATCCAGATGGACGTTTTCTGCTTCTGATTAAGAAAATCCCCATTGGGGTTTAAACAAGATCAAATGCTAGCACTCTGAACTGTATATATTTCTTACATTGAAGAGTCACGAGGGGTTGGATGAAGCAGAACTTATGGTGCAACAATAATTACAGATGTATGATACAGAGTGATGGATTTCGCAAACAGCTCTGCGTGAATAAATTTTTCAGACTTCAGATTTCACTTTTGTGCGCTGTGTATAGATTAACGTGGAAAACATCTCCATAGACTTAGGGTCAGTGCAAGTTCAAAAAATGTAGCAAGCAAACCGAAAGCCAGGACATTCAACCCACATTCCTTTTTAGCCACTTGGGAACGTGATATGTTTATTCTGCAAGCAGCGGCTGATCAGGCTGAAAAAAAAAAAAACTGTCATCTGATATCATCCATGTCCTGGAGCCTTCAATGTTTTCGTATCAGCTGGATATCAGAGCCGTTACAACAGTGTCAGAAACAAAAAGGAAAGCTGTGTACTTGAGGCTATTGTTTAACCTACTCAATATAGTAGGTTTTTTCCCATGCTAGTAAAAATGTAAATCCTATTAATGTATTTTATTTTACACAGTGTACGTCAGTGGCATGGCCAGGAATTAAATTGAAGGAAGGCTGAGGAATTATGCTAAATGAAATCCCTGTAGGATTAAATTGATAAGCGTGACATGCTCGTGGATTTTGAGCAATGCCACCCAACCAATCTTGTCATATTACAATAATATTCATACAAATAGGCCTCGGAAATGAAATACATCTATGACAGTTCGATTGAAATTGGTTAAAATAACATGCAGGTAATAGGATGTAATAGAAATGACATCTTATATCATTTCTATGCTGTTTTATTTTCTCCTCCTGAAGTAAGCCTCAGGTACTTTATCAGATTCAGGACTTTAACTAGCTGTTAGTTAGTAACATGATGCATGATTCTGATTGGTTCATTCTGGTTCTCTTTATAAATTGTGATTTTAAAAGATTCAAGGGAAGTCTTTGTTTGACATTATCTTTAAATATGGTGGAGCTATAATGAGGACTTAATTGAGTTATGATGCATATTATTACAGTGTAATTACTGTGCAAAACAATGTTACTTGACATGTATATAATCAGCTGCGGGGGCACGGCGGCTTAGTGGTTGGCACGTTTGCCTCGCGCCTGGGGTTCAAATCCCGCCACTCCGCATTGATATTTCCAAATTGTCCATAGTTTGTGAATGTATGCAATTGTGCCCTGTGATAAGTTAGCACCCTGTCCAAGGTGTCCCCTTGTGCCACGAGTTCCCTGGGATAGGCTCCAGGTTCCCCCGTGACCCTGTGTAGGATAAGAGTTATGGATGAATGGATGGATGGATGGATGGATAATCAGCTGTGCTGTATGTTTGTTCTGTTAGCCCACAAATACCCTCTAGCTACAGTACATCTTACTCTGACTTGTACGCGGATGTGTAGAAGATTTATACATTGCTGCAGTAATTTGATTAAGGTTAAAATGATCAGGAATGTGTTTCAGAGATACCTGGGTCAACTTAACCTGATCATCTGAACTGTGTTTAAGAACAGTATTACTCAGGGCAAGTTTGGTATCATTTTTATCCATGTTTCATGGTGAATAATGTGGTGATATCATAAATATCATATAGGTTTAAGAAGCAACCTTTACAATATTTGTCGCAATATGTGCTCTTTCTCACACACACACACACACACACACACACACACACACACACACACACACACACCCTGGTGACATTCTTCCCACCGACTCATTCTCGGGAACTTAATTAACCTATAATTCCTAACCAGCTGGATTCCATCCTGCCATAAAACACATTGGTTCCTTCCCATTTGGTCTCTTGGTCACTATACATTTCAAAGAGGCTCAGGGGTATAAAATAAAGGGGCTTGTAACATAGAGTTGCCTGGTACCATCGAGGAAGGGGCTCATAACATCAGAGGCTGTCTTTTGTGCCATTAGTGCTATTACCATCACACATCCTATATCAGACGTTGGTCAACATTTGCCTCTATTTTATCTTCTTTTGTGATTTTGTTTAATAAATTAATTTGTTATTACTATTATTAAATATTCAGTGGTTCTTCAGTAAAAAAAAAAGCATGTTGAATTAAAAGTGGTTTATATTTATATGGTTATTAGAAATAGTTCCCTAAGCTAAAGCTTAGGAAGACATGTTAAAATCGACCTCTGATAAGTTAACGTAAAAGGCTAATGCTTGCAAGTTTAAATGAAACATCTGACAGGCCTTGGCTTGCACGTCAATATAGACCCCTGAGCTAACAAGAATAATTATTTATCATAAGCTATATACAGTAAAAGCCTCTGACGTAGGGACGTTATTTTACTGAAGTTTAGCATGAAACTGTTTTAGATTAAATATAATCAGAACACTGAGATATTGTACTTCCAAAACTAACTTGAAGATAAACTTCTGGAGTCCGATAATTAATTAAATGGAGTCAGATATATAAATAATAAATTGAAACACCGGCTGCACCTATTTCCGTCTTTGGTCATAGGAGAGCAGTGGGCTAAATAATTCATCTTTAATATTTTAGCCCTACAAATGCTAGCCACTTTGAGCTAAAAGAAAGTATAAAAAGTCTAAGTAGCATCATCACCTTCATTGCAGTAAAGCTGGGTGACTTCCAGTGCAGGCTAAAAGTTCCATTTATTCGAAAGCAGATATTGAACCTTGTCGCATGAAGTGTCAAAATCACCACACTCGGGTGGTTATA